TTTTTTTTTTTTTTTTGAGGGGGGAGGGTGAGGTTTCTTCAAACGAAGAAAAAAAAAAGTGAGAGGGGACTATCAAGAGAAATAAAAACAAAAACAATTAGAGCAACCGATCAGTTAAAGAGCGGTCACATGCAGTACAAGAAAGGATAAATGTGCCCCATTGGAATTCCTTTGTTCTCAAAACCCATCATAATAAAAAAAAAAAAAATGAAGTGTAGAGTGAAAACCTCCACCTGTATACCCCCAAGAAAAAAAAATACATATACATATACATACACACATACAGCGGGAGAGAGAGAGAGAAAAAAGATGGAGTCTGTATTTTCCTCTTTTCTATTTTCTCTCCCCTTACCTACTTTTGTCCCTCCCGTCTACTTTTCTATTGACGCAATGCACCCTCAGGGTTCATGGAACGTACCACAATCTTTTTTGTTGTCAATACGGCAAGTGTCAAGGGACCTCGCGCGTGCACCTTTGATGTCGCAATTGCAAGATCTGCGCCACGTCCAAGTGCCGTTCCGCTAGAAAGTCGTGTGGAAGCATTAACGAGCACCACCGCAGTGTCCACTAGATCGCAATACTCACGAATAGCACTCTCGTCTGTTGCGATGATGCCATCGGACTGTCCTGACCCAAAGAGATCGAGAAAGTATATAGCAGAACGCAGATCGCGTACCACCTTTACGCAGAGTACACGATGAAAGTCCGCTAATCCCTCCGTAAGGCCATTGTATACCTCCTCCGATGCTAATATGTCAATACAAGAAGATGCTAGTTTCTTAGCTGCCGTGTCACCCAGCAATAAAACTCCTTGTGAATTAAGTGTATGTAGCAGTTCCTGAATGCGAGGATACGATTCGTGTAGTATGAGTGTGTTTACGGCGTTGGTAGCGTTGGGTCGCTGAAACTTAGCATTCAACACAACCCGTAGCGCTGTTTCGTAGTCGGCACTTTTATCCACATACAGGCTACAGGCACGACCAGATGCCCTAATGAGGGGTATTGCTGCTCGCTGACATGCGTAGTGGTAGAGTTTGCTATTTCCACAAACAATACCGAGGTCAACAGAATCAGAAGCTTGTAACCACTCAGCTGTAACATCGTTTTCCGTCTCATTCGCTTCCACAAAAACGACTGCAGCAACAGGAATGTCAGCAGCTATCAATGCACGCCGTACACTTGCCATTATTGCTCCGTTAGTATTCATAACTGAAGCACCTCCGTCAATGATAACAGCGTTACCGGACTGAATGCACATCGCCACAGCATCTAACGTCATCCTTGGACGGTAACGTGAGAGAACACCTACAACACCCAGTGGCACAGGCACATCTTGTACAGCGAGTTGACAAGATGAACATGTTTCCTGTGTTATTTTAACATCCGTAGAGGACGTACTGATTGGATCAGGAAAACGCATTAGACCCTCTATCCCCGCCAAGAGTTTCTTGATACGCAATGGTGATAGCTCCGTGCGATCTTCACTATGAGTACTATTGTACGAAGGTTCGCACCATTTATTTTTAATACTCTCGTCAACAGAGAAAGATGATGAACTTTTACCAAACGAAGGGCGTGGTGAGACGACATTATGTTGTTGTTGTGCGAACGCACTACAGTCTAAACGATTCGCTGCCATAATTTGTTCTTCATGATTTAAGACATCACTATGAAGTGCACGCAAGAAGCCCAGTCTCCGCTCATATGGCAAAGATCTGAGCACGCTTTTAACCTCAGTAGCCGCTCGTACGCCACGCAAAACACTTTGTGTTCTCCAAAGAAAAGTACAACGCATTTGAGGAAACACAACCTCTCGTGTCGTCTACCTTTTTTTTTTTCTATTAGCCTAGTTTTAAAAAATATGAATCACAGAGGTTCTACAAACCCACAATGATGTAGGAAAACAAAGCAAGAAAATAAAAATAAAAATTAATACGAATAAGGCTCAATGAGAATATATATATATATATATATATATATATATAATTGACAGTTTGGAAATTTCTCCTTTGATTTTAAAACTTGGACGGATCAGTCACGTACCTCTTATATTCCATCCCTTTTTAATGATACCTGCTTCCCTTGTGTGTGTGTGTGTGTGTGTGTGTGTGTGTGTATGTGTTTATACGGTTTCCTCCCCTTTATGTTTTATTTACCTTTCCTGTGTTAAGCGGGAGGAAGAATCCCCTCAACATTCCACAAGGCAACCTTTTTATTATAAAAGTCACAGGTGACCACGGTAGCAGTGTCATCATGTATATCTGTGTTGGTGTCACACGTGAACCCTCGATGAAGAACGGCAGAGTCGTAAAAAAGAGCATTCTCAGGCAAACCATCTTCTTCTGAGTGATTTTTTTCGTTGTGAAGATATCCCAATAGCGTAGTCATATTTTCTTCCGATGCGTTAATGTTATAACTCACCAATGCCACCCCTCGCTGCATGACAGGGATGGCTAATACGTTAGATGGGTGTACCCAGCCGTAGTGTTCCATAGAAGTTTTAGACTCCGAGGGAAGTCCTTCACGAAATAATTGCCGTGAACAGCGCCATACACCACCACCAAGATTGATAGAAGTCAACGGCTCCTTCGGTAATCTTGAGTCTACAATATATAAATGCTCATCGTACGATCCAACCAAAGAGAGTGTGGTGGCAACCCCGCCTTCAGTAACAGGAGCTATAGAGACAACACCAGCGCCAAATTGCATCTTTCTGATGGCTTTGCTATCACTTCGCAAATCCCACCACTTCAGTAAACCATCATCACCCCCAGAAAGTGATATTTCAGTATCAATTGTAGCTGAACACCATGCATCGTAATCATGACCCTCCAAATTACAAACAACGTTCATTGTAATTGCATCGTAAACAAGAACTGCCCCTTGATGAGCGGTACAAAGCCATTTGGCTTTGGTTACCATCTCGCCACCTGAGAGGTAAAAAGGGCTACAACTAGTGAGCATTGTGTTATGCACGGGATAGACGGATTCTTTTAAAAATCCTTCTTCAAACCCAAAGAGGCGTACGGCACCGTCTGTGCAACTCGTCATCAAGTGAACTCCATCAGAGCAACAAGTTAGATCGAATATACCAGGTAAAATATCTGTTACAGAATCTGTCGTAGTGGATGTCACTTTATTTAGTGAATATTTATTCGTATTTTCATGTTCCAATGCATATCCATTGACAGACCCACGGTATCCCATATCAACAGATCCATCAGAATCTAAAATAAGTTCGTAGCAACCAGCAATAAAGTCAACCTTATTTCCATAAACTGTAGAACAATCTGCAAGAAGACAGTTGCACGTTGATACAGTTGATAGCTCTGCCACCTTTCGCGCTGACACCATACTCTTAGTTGTTGTTTTTATTAGTCACACTCTATTGAAAATAAAAGTTCCTCCCACTCATAAAACGGATTGAGAGCTTTCCTAATATATATACTAACCAGAAGATCAAAATAAATCAGAAAAAAAAAAGATAGTATATGTTTTTCTTACATTTCCCTTCATATAATAAGACATAAAAATAAATGACTGAGTACAGCATAGTAGTGTAGTTGATAATTACGCAAAGTTCAAGGTAAGAAAAAACTCCATCGCCGCTCGTCGAGCCCGTTGATTTGCGTTTAACTTCATAGCAGCAATGTCTGCATCGATATCCATCAAAAAGGTGATGATAAACTGAATAATCTTATTCCTATGCATGGTTTCAACTTCATCGTGAGTTATCAAGAAACTGATATCATACCCTGGGATCGGTTTTTTCCGTAGTATACAAAATTGTTTGGCTCGTTGAGCCAAAAAACTGACGTACTTTCGGGCTATAAGCTCTGCTAGAGCGTCACTTTTTAAAAATGAAACAGAAACACGTGTGCTGTTTATGCTACTTTCAATAAGACAACTTTCTTGCTCTGATCGCGCAATCCGAATGGGATTAAGAAGAAGTTCCGTTGAAGAGGGCTTAGTGGTACCTTCTGAGAAATCAAGCAGCTCAATTTCAGGCTTGTTGTGACGCTCAACAGTGCGTGATGGATAGTTCCCGATACAAAGAGCAGCCTGAAGAGTGCACTTAATACAATCATAATACGGTAGGTATGCTGTTGCCATTGGACCAGCCTAATATTCCTAACAATATATAAAAAAAAAAAAAAAAACGTCGTCAAAAGAAATTCAAAAAAAAAAGGAATTATAAGAATACATGGATATAAGAAGGGAAAAAGATGCATGAAAGCAAAACAGTCAAAGTGTGTTTTTCTTTTGTTTTCGTACTATCTATTGTTTTTCTTTTTAGAGATATTCTCTGGTAACATTGCATACCTTCGAATAACGAAGGGTAGTAAAGGAAGGCAAATCCAATCATTTCGTTGCATCTTTATTACATAGAAGACGGTATAAGAAAAAAAAACTTACAGTTGTTTTGCTTTCTTCCGCCTATATTCCTCAAGAAGTCGTTGTTGGTATGCTGCAGCAGCATCTGATGAATACTCTTCCGGTACGTAGTCTGGTCTCTCCTTTCTGGGAAAAGTCCCCTTAACTGGCCCAGTACCATCAGGCAAAACTTCTTCACTTTGGGTTTCTTTTATAAACGAATCATCATTCTTTCGGTGTCCACTAGAGGGTACCGGCACAAATCCATTTCTATCTCGTTCCTTCTGTTCCCGATACAATCGCAGTTGTTCTCGTCGATAATCATCACCTGTGGGTTGATGGACGGAGGCTTCCACTTCATGTTTAAACTCATTCCATAGTTGGCGTGCAGTAGTCTTGAGCTGCCCACTATTTCGTCTCCCAGAAGGAGTTTCCTTGAAAGAGACATCTTTAGATGCAAACATCGCTACTGAGGCGATTGCATCTGAAGCAGCATTTACTTTAGTAGATGTAGGTGCCGCATGTTTTTTGGCAGCTCGTATGTGATTGCGAGTTTCATCTGCACTACGCTCCCTAGCCTCCCGCACAGACAAAAGAAGATTGTTATTTCCAGGATCAAGTTGTAACGCCATCTCATATGCTTCAGCGGCCTGAGCGTACTTTTTCATTTTAAAGAATGCGTCACCTTGACGAGAGTAACCCTTAAACCATGCTGGTCGAAGTTCAACTGCACGATCAGCATCTCGTATGGCACTTTCAAGAGCCTCTGCTGTCCCTATTTGTTTCGCTGCTTGAATATAACAAGCCGATCGATTACTGAATAATGCGGCAAGCAAAACAATTATTGGATCACTCTGGCTGAACCTGGGTTCGACAACACCAACACCTTCAGCCTTACGATAGCTATCTCCCTTCAGTTGATAGTCTCCCATTCCAAGAAGGATTTCTATAGCCTCAGTGTAGCAATTCAGTGCCTCACGATACCGCCCATCTTCAAAGGCCCGATTACCATCAACCTTCAACTTTTCAGGTGAAACCTCCTTGCAGCCCGCATATCTATTGACACTTTGATGTGAAACTCTTCCTTTATGAGAGACTTTCGACTGATATTCTGGGACTTGGGCGCCCTGAAACTCTCCCTTTGAGGTCTTACAAGCTGCAGAACCTCGTGACCCTTCACGAACGGCCCCACAACCTAGATCATTTTCCGGAGACTTGTTATTTTTATCACTTTCAGAAGTAATAAGAAAAGGATCCAACACATCTTCTTCAGTGATACCAAGCTGACGCATGAACGCCAGGCGCTCGTCCGAGAGAGTGGTCATTCAACCTTTATCAACAACTTCAAAAGTAAACAAAAAGCGGGAAAATATAAATCCAAAAATAATAAAGCAAATAAAACCAATTTTTATGGGTTGTGACATATAGAAAAACAACTGTATCATAAGGAAATCAAAGAAAAGAAGATTAAAATCCTTTTTTTTTTTTGTACTGGAGACGAGAAAATGGGAGGAAATGACCCAGGGTAGAAAGAGAACCTCACGCGCTGTAAAAAAGTTGTCAATAACAGAAAAAAGTGACGCGGATTTTTCTCGTATTTCTTCACAATCTGCATTTGGTAATCCCAACGAAAGAAAAAAAAAGGAAGTAAGTCTCATATATAAATGAAACATGGACCACATGAGACCTGATCTCGACAACTCACAAAGAAGAAAAAAAAAATTAAACAAATTTCCTATTCATCACTCCGACGCAACGCAGAGTACTAAAAAAAGGTAATAGATTCTAATACTAATACAGAGAGTTCTCATAGAAAATCCGTACAGGTGACATTATCTTCAGGAACGATCACAGAGCCCAAGCGCAGCTACAAATAACAGAGCCCGTTAGAAAAGCTTCCCGAGCATTAACGCGCACGCCGGCCTCAAATATGTCTTTTGAAACCGCCCCGCCCCGCACCCCAACCCACGGCCAGCAAGAACCAATAAAAAAAGACGCCACGAAGAAGAAAAAAAAACTGGCGATCCCCCGCTTTCAGCGGTGGGCGGTTCCCCGGCGTCGGGAGGGAGGGAGGGTGGAGGGGGCCATCCCGAAGGCCTCCCCAGAGCGGACGGCGAAGGAAAGTTTTTTGCCCCGCGCCCCGCGGGGGGATTAAAGGAAAGGCGAAGCGAAACGGAAACCAACCCCATTCCCGACCACCCCACCCCCCTCTCCTTTTATTCTTTTTTCGTTTTTTTTACCAACCTCGGGGCGCCAAAGGAACAAGACGCCAGGGCCGCGGGGGCGAGGGGGAGAAGATTCTCCACCGGGGGCCCTTCCCACACGCTGGGGCCCCGGGCAGGAATCAAAAGGCCGGGGGAAAGCCCGCGCGCCCCAACGCAAGCCTTTTTTCCCCCTTTTCAGCCCCCGCCCCAACCCACCCCTCCCATCGCTTTTGGCGCTGCCGCGTTTGGGTGGGGGAAAGGGTCTTGTGGGAAGCTTCTTTCCGGATTCCTGGCAGGGGGGGGGGGGCCTCCGGGATTTTGTTGCCCCGGCCCGTCGGTTTTGAGGCCGGGCAATCGTCCGAAAGGCTTGGCGTCACATTCGTTTTGAAGTTACCAAACGGTTGGCGGTGTGATCAAGGTTCTTTCTCTTCAAAAGACCCCCGTTCGGAAGCGATGCGCGCTTGTGCCTCCCCAAAAGCGTGTGGAAAATCTGCATTCTTCGGCGAAACTTAGCCTACCGAGGAATGGGCCCCAGGCCCCCCGATTCATGAATATGTTGAGGCCTATTTTTACCAAAAGCATGCCTTTTCGAGCTCGAACAAACCGCCTGGGCGATAACTTAAATGCAGGGTTTCTTCTGAAGGAAACTCAAAAGCAAAACGCCGTAGGGCCGTTAAGGGGAACAAAATCTGTGAACTCCATCGCGCTCATCCACCACCCTGCTTTTCAGTAAGAAGGATGGTTTATACTTAACATTTTGCCTTGCTTAAAAATTACTTTTTTCAGAAACTTACGCACAAGAAAGCGCAAGGGTGAAAAAGAAAAAATTATAATCAATATAAAATTCCGTACACCATTTGATTTTTATTAAAGTAAGCCTCGATCATTCCTTTAGCAAATTGTCAATAACGCATCACCTTCGTCAATGCACCAAAGCGCAATTGGCGGATGAGAATTGATGGGGAAAAAAAATCGAGATGTCCAGTTCCCTAAATTGCAGAATCGGCCAGCACACATGCAGGAGTAGCCAAATTAAAAAGGAGGACCCTGGATAACTACCTAGTCAAGTATTGCGATGCCGAGGTTAGGCATTTGAATTCATGAAGGGAAACCAAAGGCAACCAAGAAATGATAGAGGGGGCCGCGCCCCAAACGACCATATTTTATTGGGACGGGGGTGGTCTAAAGAAAAAAACCAAGTCGAAAAATTAATTTTGATAACATAAATTCTCAAGAATGACATTTATAGACAACGTTTGGCGATCGAAACGCCGTGGCAAGGCCCAATGCTTCGCATTCCTCGGGGAAGCCGTGGGCAGGCAGCGTCCCTTTCTAGAGAATTTGCGGTTGTTAAGCCGCAAACGTCGCGCAGCACTGGGGTCAGCCACATCGCGCCGAGACAATATTTTTATTCGAGAGGCCCCTGTTTTGCGTACCAGCCTGCCATCAGCAGTAGTTTCTTCTACATATTTTACCCTTGCGCGAACGCTTGCGGGAAGGGGTGAAGATTCAATATATGGTAACAACTATATCCTTTTGTGGTGGAAATTTGCTTTACCCGCTGGGGAAACTCAGAGAGAGAATTCAAATTGCTTGCCCTAGAACCTATGAAATTCTTGTAAACCCCCTTACCATTCACAGACTGCGTGCAAAGCGGCAACACAAAAACAGGAAGAAGATTCGAGAATAATAACAATAATAATAATAATAATAATAATAATAAGAAGAAGAAGAAGAAGAAGAAAAAGAAGAAGAAGAATAACATATGCAGCTGTTGGCGGCCGCACCCTTGAGATAGCACCCTCGTGGGCTTAAGGAATACGAACAAACCATTGTCGATGCAGATGCCATTGCGCAACACGAGATCTGCGAACAAATTAAGGAAGTCACTCTTTCTTTATCGAAGAGAGGTCTACGGTCAAACCTTCCAAACATGCCAAGGATATGGTTCGGCGCACCCTCGATTGACCGCAGCTGTGGTGTATATTCAGGAAAACCCCTCTCCCTGCCGTTAAAAATAGACTTTTGCTACAGACGACGCGCTCCACATAAAGAGATATGCCAAATATGAATTAAACCAATAAACGCCACTGAATAACAAGAGAAATTGCACACCTTTTGAACTTTGGGTGAAACAACAACGCCATAACGCACCCCGGCGTCGTCCAGGCTAAAGGGCGAAGCTAGATGTTTACCCGACAGAGCGACGCACAGGTTTAACAGTAACCTCCCACTTTCAAGCAATAAAAGAAGAAGGAGTTGGGATCGTGGGGTTTTGCATCCGCATTTGTAGGACCATCAGGGGGCGGGTGGCACCGTTGAAGCAACGAGGGCGCCAGGAGCATTGCAATAATGCACCTCAGAAGCAATCGATGGCGGCAGCCCGATGGATAAATTCTGTAGGAAGTACCCGGTGGCAATTCTACCCTTCACCTCTGCCAGTAAAAGTAACGCTACCAGAGGCTAAAATGCTTTTTTTTTCCGAATCGGGGAGGAGAGTGGCAATTATAACCCTGGTAATTTCGAAGCAAAATGATCGTTAGGTTGGAGTTCGATATCTATTTCGCGAACGAATGGATCCAACAATCCCATAATGTTGAACGCTCATCCCTGGAGTTAAATTTGTGGAAGGGGCATGGTTATTCGCGAAAAGGGTATCTACAGCCAAAAGATACCTTTGACTGTTTAATTGTTTTCCGCGCTCCGTTCGCTGCACAAGAAATCCTTCCAAGTATTTATCGTTGCTAACACGGCAAACGGTTGGGTCACCAGGGAATCATACATATGAAATCTGTTAAACGAAGTATAACGGGCCACATTACAACACCCTTAACAAGTCACAGCATCTGAAAGAAGAAATCGCTGCACTAAGCGGCCCCTTCATGCAACACACCTCCTGTTCTACTACAGCAACCACTTTTATACCAACTTTAATCACCCACACGTGCCGCATAACGCGACCAGCGGATGGGCAAACCACTTTCTCCGCAAAAAGGATCACTTGTGGTTACGGACTTTGTCGACATCTACCTTTAGAGAGGAACACATGACGAAAGCAAATGCTATGGCCCGGGGTATTGGGCGGCATTGGAATGGAGATAAAGATTCTCGTTCGTGTATAACTTTACAACCTTTAACTAAGCCCACCGTGGGCGCATGAACGAGGAAATTGCAGTGGTTTTTTTTTTTTCTTTCTGCAAGGGCGGGGTCCCGGGGATGAAATTACAGTACTCGCCAATACCTCGGAGCGCAGCGCATATGGGGAGGGCGGCCAAGCACACGATGCCGATTTATTTGGTCATCCTCATATTTGAAGGAAAAAAAGTTTTCTGTTTGTCGTGCATCGCGAAAATTCGTCCAGCGCAGATTAACAATCTGAAAAAAGGGTAAATTCTGAAGATTGGGGGAGGGGCTTTGATACTGTATTGGGCGGCGGCTCTTAATACGGAAAAAACGGATCCCCGTTGGGCATCAGCGGTGCATTTGGTATTGTCACCATTGTCGTTTATTTTCAGGTACAAGAAGCATCCCACCAACCTTATGGCCAGCAAAGTGGAATGTATTTTGAATTCTTACAGAGAAACAACCCATTCAATCAAGAGAGGTACGTTGCGGTACGGGGTTGAGTCGGTCGACATTCACACTAAAGAATCCTCATGCGATTCCCCAATTCACAAGGCATAAGGGCCAATTGTATCTCCTTCATAATGCAGTGCCGCATCTTGACCACCACACATCCTTTCTTTCGAAGATTTCATCGGTGGTGAAATTGACGCAACAAATTATCCCTACCGGTTTGTGGGGCGATAGAATCCCCCGCATAAAGGGAAAAAGGACCCAGGGAAGATAGCAAAATAGCCCGATAACAACGGAAAATGCGCCTGACGTCGCCGAGAGAAGAAATCACAATCGTCTTACATCAAGTATACGTTGCGGTGCCTGATATCAGATCGATTCTCTTTTGGTTAGATGAATACGTTTTTTCTTAGTTTTTCACACGTTTGATGCTTCCAGAGGCACCCAAGATAAAAAATTACAGACCCATTCCCAACAAAAATGATTTTTTTTTTTTTGTAAGCTTGCGATAAGAATGATCGAGTCTTACGGTAGTAGATATTTTACTTGTATGGGTCAAAAGTATGGAAAATTTCTTTTCTTTTTATTCCTAACAGCCTGTCAAAAGTAAGTTTCTGAAAAGCCCACCCAACCCTCTCCGCCCCGAACGGGAGGCGGGCTAAGAGGGGCTTCTCAGCACTTCCATTTCGTCAGTTCTCAGGTTGCATTAAAAATATAACGTTTTGGAAAATTTCAGATTTTATTTTTTAGATAAAAGAGAGGGTTCGAATTTTATATGGAATTTAAATACAGGGATTTCTTTTCTTTCTTGTTTTCTTTTATGGTAGGAGTAAGGCTGAGATTATTCTGCAAGAGATCTGGATAAAAATGAACGTTTTGATCTTAGACAGAAGTTCATCTGTGCTATTTTTTTTTTCCGTATTCGAAGAGAAACTCATTTAAAAATTCCAACTGTTAGATGGCACATCCTTAGAAATTAATAAGGCATGGCCCTTGCCAAGCAGAAGCGCTATAGGGTAATATTTTATGTTATTTAACGATGGCGTTGGGTGGGTCTGCGTCTTGGTCGGATATGGAGCCCCTTCGTTTTCTAAGCAACGTCGCCTCCTAGCACCAAGTGTCTCATTTGACGCGGTGGTTGTCGATAATTCTACTGCGGAATCACCGCCATTACGAAAAAAAAAAGAAGCAGAGTGTGAGTTAAGCAATCCTTCAGAGCCGCAACCTCGGCATTTGTGGAAGAAGTTTCGGGGCGTGAAGTCTAAGAGGAGAACCGCAAAGAAATTGCCTTTGGAAGAGCCGATGGATAATATCCGTATTATGGGAACAAAACCAAGGTTATCCATTATGAGCGTGGTTTTGGCAAAATGGCAAGGAGCATTGCAACAGGACGACTGCCGGCTTAAAGTCTGAAACCAAATGTTGTCACTCCTTGGAGGTTAATTTCGCTCACAACAACCAAATGGTTCCAATAAGCAGCAAACGAATCTGCAAATACGAAACGAAAATCCAGAGAATAATTGAACAATTCCAGAAATTAAAGTGATGACCACTTAGCTTATAGGAAGCAGGTCCGCTTAAGCCGGCGCGCTGGTTGCGAACCACCCTGTGGAAAAAAACCGTGCGGCACCGTACTTGCAGCGCGGAATGGCTGCCAGCACGCCTCAAGATCCCGCTGGGCGCCTTGAAACGCCGGCGCCCCACCTCTATAAAAGCAAAGTGGCGGGCCAGAATAGCTCCCTAAAACGCGAGTTGGCGTTGCCAAGGCGGTGTTTGAGTTCTGGTGCTTCGAGCGTCGACCGTGGAAGTTGCCACGCTCGAGAATAACGATATCGATAGGGATTTGCGCTGGATGCGGGTGCCGCAGGCGCATTTTTCCGAGGGACGGGCCGCAAGGGCCGGCTGATTGTGGGCGAAGAAAACGTTTTGGAGGTCAAGGGCGGGTTTCACTACCACGGGGTTCCGCGCAAGCTATTCTCCGGACGGGGGTCGTGCATGAATGCGCTTACCCCTTTGGGTCGCGCACATTCCCGCCAGGGAATAAAACGAGACGGGGCAAAAACTATTTACACATATCTGCCGTAGAAGTCCTTTCGCTTTTTTGTAGCCACATGCTTCTTTTTCAAGATAGAACCCCGTCAGTGATTTTCCGCTTTTTGCCGTGAAAAACGTTCTCCCGCCTCTTTTGCACAATTCTGTGCGCGTCACCCGTTGGGACACCGCACCGCCAGATGAAATTTCCGTAGCAAAAAGCACGTTTCCACAGAGCGAACCGGGACCTCTGCTGTTTTGAACCTTGGCGTGCATTGCAGGGTTGGTTTTTTTTTTTTTTTTTTTTCGGCGGGCGTTGGCGCGGGTAAAGCTCCTTTGGGTCGGCGCGGCGAAAACCCAACGCCCACCCCCCAGACAAAGCCATGGGCGATATGGTTCGCGCTTTTAAATTTCGTGGCGCGTTTGCCTCTGCAAATTAAAGGGAGCCCCAGAAAACATGTTATCGCATGGCGTGGCCGAAAAAGTCGGCAAGAATATTTATTCCCTGCCCTCTGGGCTTTCTGGCGTTTTCCGTTTTTTCGAATCCCTCGGGCTGCAAGCTTGTTTTTTCTTAATTTGATATGAAACGGCCGGGGGAGTGGTTTTCTGCGTGGTTTCTCCGTTTCAGCCGCAGCTTTGGCAACGTGGGTCTTGGAAGTTGGACATAAAAAGGGCTTGCTGCCTTCCCCTTTTTCTTCATACAGGGGTCTATTCCTTAACCCCATGTGGAAAGTTTTGCCTTTCATCCCAGAAGGCGGAGGGACCGTCCACATGGCAACGCACAAGGCCGAAACGCAGTGGCACAACAACATCCCTTACGGCCACCCATTTCGCAAAAAGGTTTAACCAAACTTATCTGGTGCGCTCTTCGCTCATTATTTTTTTAGGCGGTAGATGGAAAAGGGAAAGAAATCGTTTGGCCTTCCCATGTTTGGGTAGTCTAAAAAAAAAAAAAAAAAACGTTTCCAAATTCGTCATGATAAAGATTCTGGTAAAGTATAACTTCTTTAATGGAACTGTTAGAAGAATCTTATTCAAAAGAATGATTATTATCACTTGGAACTTACCCATTATCAGAAGCGAAGCGAACCAGAAGAATAAGGGCATTTTCAACCTTTGTATGACATACTTTTCAAGTGGCACCTTCTTTCGATTTTCACTTATCACAGAGCCCGCATCATATAGATCACATAGATGTTGTTTTAGCTCTTGTCAAAGGGAGATTAATAATTTACTTTGGTAAAGGGCGCAGGTCAATTTTTGCTTCCACAAGGGACCCGAAAAAATTTTTTTTTCCAAACACCGTTTACCCCGCGGTTTTCCATGACGTTCGAGGATGTGCAGTTGGCTGCGCTTACGGAACGGGCGGCGCGTGACGAGAAAGAGAATCGACATTGCATTATTCTTACGAACCTTTCGATGCACAACAGGCAGGTGGAAGTTATCGGTTAAAGCAAAATGCAATTCCAGAGTTCCAAGATGCCAGAACCTGTTTGCTCATGCGAAACTGTCGGTTAATCAGAAAGCTTTTCATCTTGAAGAGAAATATACACGGGCAATTGGCCAAGAACCAGGCACATATTGCCCCCAAACATACTCAACAATCACCGAACCCCACCCCAAGATCTATGAACTAGCCGCTTCAATTCATTCCCCTCCAGAGAGATGGAAAGCAGAAATTTTGACAAAGGCAATGGGTTACCTTGTATTGGAAACTGGGCGCGGCGGTGGTGACCAAGACGGTCGGCTACCGGTGGGTCCCCTGGGCATTCGGAAAACCAAAGGAGAGGGCCATGGGATTTGGATCTTTATTCCAGGGATAGCGTTCACATACTTAAGGGGGCTGTGAAATGCGGCCTTCCTACCTCATAAGGGGGGCTTTGTGCTGCATATCGGGTAATTTTTGTAATCGTTGCGAGACCACGACCTCTTCAGAGCAAATGATAGGTTAGATTTGTATCCTGAAATTGCGCCGTTCCTGGGGGAGGGCGGCCCTTACAGTTATGCAGAGTTGGGAAAGGCGCAGCCATTTTGTAGAGAAGCCCGCACCACAGAATCAGGGCAGAAGAACCTGGAGCACACACCCGGCATTCGGACGAGACCGTTGCGCAACCACCCAAAAGGGAACCACACATTTCCCCCCGCGTTCCTAAGTTAAGGTCAACGGCACCCCTTCTCCGAAACAAGCGTTTCCGTTCCACGTGCCATTTCAGACCTGGCAATGCGGCAACACCACCCGCGAAAACGCATCAAAGGCGCCAAGATGCAGCCCACATGCCTCGGAAAGGGAAATTTCCGCTCCAATCACATTCCTTTGGAATGGCGGCGGGTGGGGCCGCTTGGCTCCCTTAAGCGGGCTCGAGCGGCACCGCCGGAACTCTTTTAGCAAGGGTGATGCGCCCCCGGGTGCGCTACTTGGTGGGCGGTGGGGCGGCTGCGCCATCTGATCGCCGGCCCCGTTTGCCAAATGGCGGCGCGCTTCGGATACAAACCTGGACCTCCCAATGGCTGGGCCCCGCGAAACCCCTGAAGCCTCCCAAACTAAAAAAAAAAGACCCACAATAGCCAAGACGCGGGGCCTGTATGCTTCCTCGGGGCCCGTTTCTAAAACAAGAGAAGTTGTTTTTTTTTCCCCTCTTTTTCGCTGCCGGGAATTTATCTTTCGCCAGTCGTCCTTTTTAGGTTCGGGTGGCGGTTTGCCAACGCCCGATTGCCGGAAGTGGGCGAACCAACTTTCCACCGCAGGGAGGCGGGGATTATTTTTGCGAGGTTTCTTTTGCCCGACCCTCTTGTTTTTCCCGAAAGGCCCAAGCCACCGAGAGAACCCAGAATTTTTTGGAATGATGGAACGGCGCGTTTGCCCCCCGGCGGCGTCATAAATCCCAGCCTTCCTCCGCATTCCCCTTTGGCACGAAAAGGGCGGCCCAAGGGAAGGGGCGCCAAAACGAAAAAAAGAGGCTGGCACAACCCCTGAGGGGAAATGGCTGCACGGCGTCGTGCGTGGGGTGGGGGTGTTTCGGCAAAAATTGGGGCAATCCTCGGCGTTGTTGGCTCTACCCCGCCGGTGGCAGTCGCAAACCCTTTCCAACATCGGAGAATGCCCCCTGCCCCGAAAACCGTGGCACAAACTTTCCCACCCCCTTTAGCAAAAAACAAAGGCTGGATGCCCCAAATGGCGTGGCACCTTCAAGGCCCTCGCGTTATTGGGTGGGCGGGCCGCCGCCCGCCAAGGGGGTACCGCAGCCAAAAAAAAAAAAAAAAAACGTCCCCAATGCAAACGGAATTTCAATAGCGCGCGAAAATGCCGCGGCGGCGGATGCCAATCCCAAATGCCCCGTGCGTCTGGCGATTTTGTGGGCCGGGTTCGCGGGCATCTTCACCGCACCTCCGCGGGTCAGGCCCTGGACGAGGATGCTGTTCGCAGAAAGGCAAAGAAAAATCCATATAAAGCACGGAAGGGGTTGCCCCCGCGGGCTTTTGAGGCGGTTGTAAGCGCTGCCGGTGGGAACGGGGAATCAATCCCACCCCCACCCCGCAGAAAACCTTTGAACACCCCAAAAAACGTGAAAGAGATCCAAGTTGCCTTCCTGCCCGAAGACCCCTTTCAGAAGCAGCAATTTAAAGATTCTTTTGGAGAGCGATCACCCTCAGCACTCGGGAAGTGGTAAAAAAGGAAAGAGAAAACTACAAAAAGAAGGCTTCGGGGAATATTTCTCCCCATAAAGGTCGCACTTGTACTACTTTTGCCTTTCGTGGCCAGGCCCCGAGCCCACAGACCATTCGCAGCAGTGCCTGCTGAATGCGTTGGGGGTTCATGGACTTCGAATGGCGGGGGCATTCCGGTCACACCCAATAGCCTCAAAACGGATGGACGCCTTCAGCACTGGTCCCGCAATTTTCCTTCTAAAGTCTCATCGCGGGAGTTTGCGATCATAATGGGTTTAAAAAAAAAAAAAAAAGTCTCCACGATGCGGCATTTCCGTGTCAGGTTCGGTACCAGAAATTCCGCGGTTCACCGTGGCCGAACGCCCGTCCAGAATACGCTAAATAGGACCTACAACATTCCCTACGCCTTCTTTTTTGGTAATTTCGAAATAAGCCTCCAAGCTCCAGGAACGGCAGCCATAGAAGGTACCTCGCGAGTCGACCATGGTTTTGCCTCGGAGTGGAAAAAACAATGTTTTACGGAAGTGTCGGTGGAGAAGGAGTGTTGCGCCTCGTCTCCGAAATGCAAAACAGAAGGGGTGTAGAGTTGTAAGTCGGCAACCCGCTTTCCAAGCAAATGGCGCGACATCTGAAAACTCAAGAGTTTCGCCGAAGCCATCCCCCAACAAAAAAAAAGCTTAAAAACAAGCCAAGAAAAAGGCTGGACAATCCTTTTTTAAGTCCCGTCCGTTTCGTAAGGTGTTATTTTCCGAAAGGCGGCTTTTAAGAAGCACAATAAAAAATTCCCCGGGGCGTTTCGCGAGGCCCAGGATTTCAAGCCAGGGCATGGTTGCGCAGTTATTTTTTTTGCCCCCCACCACCCACCCACTCGCGTCCCCAACGGGTTTGGCCAAACCGGGGAAAATAAATGCATGGTCCCCCTTTTGCAATTTCAACGGCCAATTCTCCAAAGGGCGTGCCCGAGAAAAGGACCCCACATTACACCAGAGGGATTGGATAACTGTGGGGCTTTTGGATCCCAAGAAAGGGCAACATCAAGAAACAATTCCCTCAGGAGATCTTGCTTCCACTCTGAACGTTCAGTGAAAAGTATTCTGCGCAACTCAGAAAACATGTTCTTCGCGGCATACGGCTTTTAACGGCGCCGCCGGTCATGTTGTTCCTCTGGCGGCCGCCCTCTATTATTTGATATTGACTTCTCCGAAAGCCTTAAAAACGAACGCCCTCTAAAACAATAAAGGGGTCCATACGCATAAAAAAAAATCGTTCTTTTTCCAATTATAGGCTTTAAATGTGTCAGGCGGTTTGGTTTGCCTCGGCGCCTTCCCTTCAGCGGCGGTCATCGCGAGCACCTACCGGGACGAAGCCGTTACAACGGGTCCAAGCGCCGGAAGGTAGGGATACAGCTGCGGGGGTTAAGTTGTGGCGCTTTGGAAGGCTCCAAGGCAGTTGGTGACAACCCCTTTCACCAATTCAAAAAAAAAAAAAAAATGAGAACAAAGGCCGCTGCTTTTGGAGGTTGGCCATCGCCGCCCGAAGCCCCAAATACTCTGCAGTTGGGGCGGGAAATTGTATTCTTCGTAGAATTTGCTCACATTTTCTTCCACACAGAAAAAGGAAAGAGGCGTCATATTTTCAATTTGCATTCCTGCAGAGCGGCGTGGAAAGAACGAGCGCGGGAATAGGCTGCAATGTTGGAACCCCATGCCAAAAAGCCATGCATTCCACCGAACTGACATAACAACGGTAGCCAAACACAAGGGTCAGAAATGAAGAACTTGCAGCGTTTAATGCCGAGACCGTTCTGCGAAGACATAACTCCAACCATTTGGGTGCATAAGCAGAATCAAGAAATCAACAAAGCCCACTTTTATTGATGAAGCCGAAGAAACAAAATTAAGGATTAACACAAGCGTTCATTTTGGCCGATTGCAGCGAGCACTAGCCGAAGATGGGGGCAACCCACGTTCGCGATGGCGTTTCCTGAGAACATATTTGGCAACACACGCCAGCAGAGCAGGTAGATATGTTGCTGCAGTTTGCCTATGGTAATCGAAAACAGGACGAAAATATTAAAAAAAACCCAGCAAATTGTATAAAGACACAAGGGTGGAAGTCGCCAAGAAGGGTAAATGCAAATGTGATCTCTACATTTCCGCTTTCCCAGGGAAGAGTGGAAAACCAATGGAACACATGACATGGGACGGCGCGGCTAGTATTTATTTCCATCCCTTTCTAAAGGCCGGGGCATCTGCCATTAGGTAATTTTTTTTTCTGGCGACCCGCCCTGCACCGCCCCCCTCCCTTGACAAACGCTTTGGCTGCACGGCTCCGGCCCAGAATATTCTAAGTCTTACTTATCCTTACTACAACGAAGAAAAAACGAAAAGAAATTGATAGGTTTCTGCCTAAGGGCAGCATGGAAAAAACCAACAATAATAAAGCACAATGGGCCTCAGTACCTTCCCATTATTATAAGGTGTTTGTATTACTTTCTGAAAAGGTTGTGTTGAAAGTACTTTTTAAACAAGACCCCACGTCGCTCTTGAAATGTTAGTCTTTTAAATCATCTCCCGTCCCGAAATTTCATGAGCCGGATTGTTCCCGTAAACCACATAAAGTCACATTGCCAGTCCCCTATCGTTTTGGAAAACTTTGTCAGAAACTGATAGCTTACCATCTAGACGCTCTGAATGCGCGTTGACATTTTCTATTGTATTCATAATTGTAGTGTTATGAAAGAAGTTGTGTAATGAAGCGACATATTTCCGTCGAAATGTTAGTATGGTTAAAAGAACGGTGCAGAGTCTCCGTTTGAGGAATCATGTGGGTCACTCGTTTCCATGCGCCACCTGATGCCAAAATGCTTTTCATGCTACTGAGTAACAACGCTCCCGTTCCGTCCACGGGTGCATTCCTTACCAACGCGGTGGAACCTGGTAACTACCATTTTCGAAGGTTGGGTAGGCCCATTGCCCAAATAATTCCGCAGCCATTTCTGCCCCACTTTCAACTCATGTACCAATGAACCTATCCAATCTTAAAGAGCTAGAAACCTTTTATAAAAATGTAACATTTATCTTTTCATAAGATTAAGGAAAATAGTATGGAAAGAAGGATTTCTCATGCACACTCGCTGCATAGATCATGTGGGAGGCTATGCTTTCTATTTCTTCAATCAAAGATATCTGAAGAGATGCCGCTTCACTTAAATGTTGCATTGTCTTTTCTCTTGGGCATACTCTCTGATTCCCGTGATTTGAATTTTACATTTATAAACTCATATTGTTTTACGTTTATCTTCGTTTTCCCTCGTGCGCTCCTTTACTGCAGCATATTGTACGTCATTTGTTTGGTCCATTTACCAGTGATTAATTGCAATAGACTAATGGTGATGTCGTCGTCGATTCATAGATTGATTCTCAAATCAGGTGGTGTCACAAACTGCGGTTGTATTATTTCCGGGTAATCTGCAAGAGCCCTGGTATTTGTATGAAGGATTTCCGGACTACATTTTTAGCTCATGATAAGCTGTATGAACTCCACAAGTTCTCCCGATTTTATTATGCAAGGGAAACTGTCCTGTATTTCTTCAGGGTGATTAGCCAGGAAAAATGATAACTTCAAGTTGAACAACGTCAAAATTTTTCCATGCGCCACTCCAAGGCAGCTTTGAAAGTGACCCGGTGGATTATCACTCTTTTAACCTTTTTTTTCATTTATTCGCAGTGGGCGCACACTTTCTTTCACCTTCGCATCTGTAAGGATTCTATCCTAACGTTGCGACCGCCAACAGCTGCATATGTTATTATTATTATTATTCTTCTTCTTCTTCTTCTTCTTATTATTATTATTATTATTATTATTGTTATTATTCTCGAATCTTCTTCCTGTTTTTGTGTTGCCGCTTTGCACGCAGTCTGTGAATGGTAAGGGGGTTTACAAGAATTTCATAGGTTCTAGGGCAAGCAATTTGAATTCTCTCTCTGAGTTTCCCCAGCGGGTAAAGCAAATTTCCACCACAAAAGGATATAGTTGTTACCATATCTTGAATCTTCGCCCCTTCCCGCAAGCGTTCGCGCAAGGGTAAAATATGTAGAAGAAACTACTGCTGATGGCAGGCTGGTACGCAAAACAGGGGCCTCTCGAATAAAAATATTGTCTCGGCGCGATGTGGCTGACCCCAGTGCTGCGCGACGTTTGCGGCTTAACAACCGCAAATTCTCTAGAAAGGGACGCTGCCTGCCCACGGCTTCCCCGAGGAATGCGAAGCATTGGGCCTTGCCACGGCGTTTCGATCGCCAAACGTTGTCTATAAATGTCATTCTTGAGAATTTATGTTATCAAAATTAATTTTTCGACTTGGTTTTTTTCTTTAGACCACCCCCGTCCCAATAAAATATGGTCGTTTGGGGCGCGGCCCCCTCTATCATTTCTTGGTTGCCTTTGGTTTCCCTTCATGAATTCAAATGCCTAACCTCGGCATCGCAACACGTGGCCGATCCATCGTCAAGGACGGGTGGTGGGGGAACCCTTCTGGGGGTTTTGTGGCGCCCTCTTCCCCTGAGGGGTTTCGCCACAATCGCCCCGCCGATCGTGGGTGGTTCGGAGCCGCCTCTTTGATTGCAGAAAAAGAAAGGGCGAGCTAATATCTTGCACCCGCCAAAAGGCAGGCGGCACGGATATAATTCGCGGAAATGTGCGGGGACGAATGGGGTGGGGAAAATATTTTTCTTTGCTCGCGGCTTCTCGTGTTTCATGGTCTCTCTAAAGGAACATTTTTTCACCTTTTCTTGCAGGCGAAAAAATGGAAAACGAAGAGAAGGAGACCGC